CCCTGTTTGTCTACCATTAATCCAAAAATTTATTTGCTACAGTAAGATTCTCCACCACACATTCACCCAATAAAATATTTTACACACAAACCAATAAAGTTACTTTAATTTTTAACCACAGATTCTCCAAAAAATACTATTCATTACACTAATTTTCTCCCAATAATGGGAGACAAACAAGCTCTTAAGCTGTGAAAGATTTTACTCTTAACAATTAGTGACATAATTAAAATAAGGTTTGCCATTCCTAAGAGAGACAAAAATGTCTTATTTCATGTTGAAAAAAGTATGCAATTATTACAGTACAAACTTGTGCATTAATCCAAGAAAGAGACCCTAATGACTTTTGCTTTACTTTCTAATATTAATTATTATATACTAATCAACCTGTTATTATCCTAAATGCACTTATATTAAAATAATCAGTAAAGACTATGCAAACAAACGCAGTTGCTGAGCTCAAATTGGATCCCTAATCCCACAAATCACAGGCTATTTCAACAAATGTCGACTCCCTTGGGTTAAATAAATCCATATTTTCATTGCCATTCAAGATATTGACAATTGGCACTTGTTAGTTAAGAGTTTTTCCTTAATTATTGCATCTTCATCGTGTACGAGAAACTAAGTATTGGTCTTAATTACTGCGCTATTATAGTGTTGAAGATAAAATTTAGATGAATACATATGATTTTTTTTTATTAATTGAGCTTTTAGATAAAGTAGTTAACAAGCTTTCCCTAGTATTCATTTGTGAAAATTGTGGTCATGGTTGTCGTATTTATTAAACTCGTAAAATGTGTTAGTTAACATGCACATTTTATAGTTTGATTGATAAGTATGTGAATGCCTCCTAGTGATCTCGTTGAACTACACTAATATTATCACGCAATGATTCTGACTTTAACTTGGTATTTTTCTTCTCTCCTTCACTTCTATGTTTTTCTTCAAAAAATTATAATTGTATAGAAGATTACAACACATTTTTAATATTCATGTAAAGTCGGTTGAATCGTCTAGATAAAGGTCTAAGATGGAAATAGGACGGCATAGACCACCTATCTTAACATCTTATTTTAAGTCTTTTAGTTAATATTTTATAAAAACAAAAGACTTAAAAAAGGGGAAGAGTTCACAAATCATGTATTAACTTTGATAATTGGTGTTAAGTTTCGAACTTGCAAAAATCAGGTATTTATTAATTAATTAAAAATTAATTTTCGATCACAGTTTTTTTTCACAGTTACAGATTTCCAAATTAGTTGGTCACAGATTTTTTAATGGTCACATATAAAAAAAGTTTTAGGTCACAATCAATTCGTTGGTCACATATCAAAATTTATAGGTCACACAGTCATAGATTTCCAAATTAGTTGGTCAAAGATTTTTCACGGTCCTCTACTGTGCGGGTGCTAAGACTAGGCGAAGAATTAAATGAATCAGTTCGCTTGTCATAAGAAGAGAAGACCAAGGCCCACCTTCTTATCTTAATGTAGGCAAGGCATATCTCGTCCCCGAAGGAATGAGATGCAGTTCTTTAATCATTCCAGTCAGAAATGTCAGTCCGAAATATTTTATTTGATTCAGAGCTGGAAAGGAGGAAGAGTCACAGATTATATAATTTTTAGATCACAAATAACAAAATGGTTGGTCACATACTACAGAATTTTAAGGTCACATATTATATATTTAGTCACAGAAAACCAAAATCACCAGATCATCCACCTGCACCACTGTCGACTGCCACCACCATTGTCAACCCACCACATACCACATCAAGTAAATACCACCGCCGTCCTGCCTAGATCCATCGTACCACCATCGCCACACAACCTCACCAACACCACTCAAATCACCACTGCCAACAACCACCACCTGTGTTTTGAAGAAAAACATCAGCAGAATCATCAATTTCAGTAGGAACATATGCATCTCGAGGAGGAAGATGGACAAATTCAATTCCAGAAGTTGAGGTGTTAATTGATGCAATTGGTTGCTTACCCATAGCTTTACCATTGCTAATTGAATTCTTCTTGGCTGAATTGAACAATTGGAACAAAATTGAAGCATCAAAATTCAGTTGTCTGCTGAATTGAACAATTGGAGCAAGATTGAAGCATCAAAATTCAGTTGTCAATTTAATTTTTCCAAACTTACAAAAAGAAAAACAATTCTTACAGAAAGTAGACTTCTCAAGAAAGGTATAAATTCCCAAATTAGAAATTGACAATTTTGCTATTAGGAAGCAAACATGAAACTACCTTAAGTCTCTCTGCGTGTAAATTGTAATTGGAGAAAAGCAACAGAGGGGGATGATGCCAGAGCAGATAAATGAAACACATAGGTACCATACTTGAAACTTATCAGCAACACTCACAGATAAGTTATACATGGCTAAAGAATTTTCAAGAGGGAGAGAGGGAGAGGAGCAGCCGCACAGTAAGCAGAGAGAGACGTGAGAGAGAGGGGAATGAGGGAAAAGGGAGGAGGATGAAATGAAATTAGGGTTTGGGTGGTATAATATTTAATTACCCGAATTTTGATTAAAAAATTTTCACACCTGATTTTTGCACTTTGAAGTTTAAAGACCTGATCTATGTAATTTTCTCTAGGCACTTCCCAAAAGCGAAAAGCTCAATGAAGTAGATCTACTTTATTGGGCTTTAAAGCCCATTAATATAGAGTATTATTCATCATTATAATTAGAGGAAATTAAAAAAAAAATCTGGTGTTTAAAGAATGATTTTTAAAAATCGGGTTTAAAGTTTAATTATTAAAAAATCAGGTAATAATTTTATATTTTAATTAATATTAAACATAATATTATTAACCCTAATTTTATCAATTCCCCCCTCCACCTCTCCACCTCGTCTTGCTCCCTTCTTCCCTCCACCTCTCTCCCTCGTCAGCGTCCCGACGGCACAGCAGTGAATCCTTCGAAAAAATTAGCCTAAAATAAATCTGATCTCGTTTTCGTTGGTGAAGAAATCATTTTGCCCCAAATTGAAATCAAGAAAACCACTGTTAAACTGAGTGCCACTTTGTTCAGTCCGCAACAATCTTTCAGACCGACGATGTTGCGGGTGTGTGTGCAGTGGGCAAGGATAATTGCAACAAACATTGAGTTTGGGTATGAACATTCAATAATGCATCGGCTTGTGCTGTGGGTGAATGGAGACATGGTGGTGGCGGCACTGCCGGTGTGTGGTGTTTGACCAGTTGTGGAACAGATGTGGTGTGTGGTGGGTTGGTATGTTCAGATCTGGTTTGATGGTGGTGGTGATAATGGTGAGGTGGTGATGTTGTGGTCATGGTGTTGTGTTGTGTTGTTAATGTTTGGTGGTGGTGGTTGTGGCAGAGGCAACAGGATGAAGAGTGTTTGTGATAACTATTTGGTTGATTTGTGACCAAATATTGGTGGTGAATCGGGATTGGGGGTTGGTTTTTTGGTGTATGTGACCAACTATTTGGTTCTCTGTGACTAACCGTTAAACCGTGACCTTAAAATTTGATAATTTGTTACCAAAAATTTGAAAATATGTGACCGATAGATAAACTGTGACCTATAAAAAATTTTAATATATGACCAGCAAAATAAACTGTGACATATAAAATTTTTGATTTATGATATCGAAATAATTTGTGACCAATTAATTTGATAATATTTGACCAATAAAAGTTGACCTATAATTATGTATATGTGACTATTAATTGTATATTCTTATATTTAATTAATAAAAATATTTTTAATTTATAAATAAATACCTAATTTTTGTATTTTTTAAACTTAAAACCTAATTTATGATTTGTTTTCCCTTATAATTAGCCCCGTTTGGTGTAATTTAAAATTTTGATAAAAATCTAAGTCAAAATCAAAATTAATTTTAATCATGTATTTCTTGAAATCCACAACTTCTATCAACTTTGCAATCACACATTTCATCAACTTTTACGAAAATCTACTAAAAATCTTATTTTTAGCTTTATATCAAAAGTGTGTAATGGCTCTTTTGTCTCTTACCACAATTCGGAGCAATCGGTCGATTATCATGAGTTGTCGGGCTAAACAACGAAGCTTGACTCGACCTGTAATTCTGTTAGATCAATCCATAAATTTGCTCCAATCGAGTTGGGTCAATTTTGATTCAAATTTTTAACTGGAGGAGCCATCCCCAACGAGCCACCCATCTTATCGAGTTCCCAAGCCTAACGAGAAGTCGAAGCCCTCCTAAAAATCGAGTAGAAGTAAACACAGCCCTATCAAGAATGTGACACTGTGCCAATGCTAACAATACAAAATCCAATAGTTTGAAGCACAAGAACATCTTATCTTATGGCACAATAATTTGAGCTATTGATATATTGAAGAATTGCTTGTTTTAACTTTTTGGGTTTGATATCATATTTGTACATTGAGTAGTTCAAACTCTTCATATTGATAAACTATTATACCTTTAACCGTCCTTAATTTTACAAGAAGTTGATGCCTACAATCCAAGGCATTGAGTCCTCAATCTTCAATCTGTAGCATTCAAGTCCGAATTTCGTCCAACAAAATTCTTCTAACGCTTAATCAATAACTTCAGACAAGAAAAGAAAAAGAAAATCATAAATTGCAACGTGCATAGAAAAACAGAACGTTGATTCCCAAGTGCAAATTTAAGAAGATTTCTCTTTCCTTTTTTCTCTTTTTATTATGTCCGGACTAAAACACTGAAATTCTACCTTAAAAATCCTATTACATTAAACAAGCACACTTCCTATTGTTTCCTTATTATTGTACATCAGTATACTGTAACCAAGACATCATCAATTCACACACCCCATAAGTATTTAAAACAAAAAACAGCCTGAAAAAAATAGTTAATACAGAAGTTAACAAACAGTAAACAAACATACAAAATCAAATCACACAAATCTGTTAAATGGCTTTCTTCCCGCTGTAGCTGGCATGGAAACAGCTGAATCTATGCTCAAGTCCCCTATAGATGCAACAGACCGATGTTTTTCCAACGCCTTCTGAGAATTTGTATCTTTGTTAGATCCTTTATTCCACTTGAAAGAACCAATATTTGGCGTCAAAGGAAAAGAAAACCTCCTGTTTGAGTCATTTCCCGGCGTGCTAGGAATTCTCTCCTTTGGATTGCTATTTGCTCGAACTTTGGCTTTGGCTGAAACAGTAGGTGCCATATAACTTGGAACAGAAAATGGAGGGCAGCTCATGAGGCTATCGTCGTCTTTCAATGGAATGTTATAGGCTGAATTAGCCGGACTAGCTCTTGTACGTGGCGAGGCTTTTGCTAGTGGAGGTGTCCTACTAGGGGTACGATATTGTTTTGCTCTAAATGGGATAGTTGATCTTGATGACCTTGGAGAGGAAGATTCGTGATTGTTAAAACCGAAGTTGTGCTTGTAATTCCTTGAATGAAGTCGAGGACTAGGCTTGTACTCTGAAATAGGCCTTGGAGGGGTTAGAGCAACAGTTCTTGCAGCATTTTGGCTCTGAGAACTATTTTCCAGAGGCAGCTTATGTTCTAACCAGTTCCACCACCAGGGAAATCCGTTGGATCGGATGTCCAGAGAAGTTTGAGCAGATTTTGGATTTGCTTTCCAGAGCTGGTAACAGAAGTTCAGAATTTAGAATAAATTGTACAACATATCAAAATTTGACGCAATTCCCTTTCCTTTTACTCAAATACGATACGAAAAATCTGTATATGCAAAGGTTATGATTGAGAAAAATCCATAGAACGCTGATAATTTCGTTTTCAAGAATTACCAGTTTTTCTGGAAATTTCCAGTTGGGATAAAAAGACAGGGTTCTCTGTTTACCTGTTGAGAATATGCATAGGCCATAGCTCTCTCTCTTTTGATTACTGCCTCCACTTTTTTCCGTAACCTGGCTTCTACTTCCTCTTTAGTCAGCAAGCTATCGTCCCAATCTTCATTATTACCAGCCTCAGACTAGTATGGCAAACAAGGAAAGAAGAGTAAATTCTGTTATTAGAAACTCTCCAACTTGTGAAATGCCTCACACTTGACAAAAAATGGTATCGTAAAAGTTGTCACAGTTTATAATGGAATGTATATTGAAAGGCCAGGATCATGTCTTCGGTTGGTTGGCTTTTTTTGACTTACCCTTTTCTCTTTCCTGCAGCTCCTCCATTTTTACTAAAAAATGCCGCTTTCGACATTTATAAAACAGAAGGCCACTCCATATTTAAGGAAGAAGTTTCAAGATATTTGCACTCTAGTCACTCTACTAACTTCAATGCATATTAATATATTATGCTTATTTTAGTGAAAAATATTGCAAGTGTTCTTGAGAAAAGAAATGTAAAATTTATTTATCAAGGCCTCAAAAGAGCTCGCAAACACATAAACCCTGGCACAGAAATGGAGAAGAGATGTAACTGTAGTTTGAAATAAGACTAGACAATCCTATTTCCAAAAGGGAGAGTTGAATATTTAATCCGATATTAACCATTATTTTCACACCCCTAATAGTGCAAAGAGAAGGCCAGGCTCCAAGTTGTTCAAGTGGCACTGAGGTTTATTATACTTTGACTTGCACACACGCGCATGTTGTCACAATTAATCCCTGTAGATGCCTGGCTTTGGGGGAGGGAGAAGGGGGGATGTGACATTTGCAGTTTGCCTATACATAACAGCATGCATATACAATTCAATAAAATAAATAGATGTAATTTCCAAATTCCTGTAAGGTAATGCATGAGGTTGACATGAAATGACAGAAAGTTGAAAGCATTAGAGGAATCTTCGAGTAAAAACTAACCTGGTTCGATATCCATTTGCTCAGGGTACTCTCTACTTCCTTATTGTTCCTATAAGCTTGGTGCTGGAGTGCCTGGTTTTCTAACATCTGGATCCTTCTTGACTGAATTTGCGATTGAACCCGTACCAAGAGCTGCATTTGTTTCATGGCATTCATTGTTTGTCGTCTCACATTTTGGCCTCTCACCACTCCTTGAAGCCTCACTAGACCCCTCAAAGCTCTGAAACTCCTCCTTGCCTATGATAGCAACATATAGAATGCACTAGCAATTGAGGTATTTCTAGACTTGGGAAGTGAAGTCACAAGTACCAAAAGAATAATAAAGACAACAAAAAGTGAGACTTATGGCCATAGTTCGTGTTTGATGTGCAGTACTAGACATGATTGTATAGTGCAGTGAATAAGATTTTAAATTTTTTTTCTTTAATATTTTCCAGTGCTGTCCAATCGGACATGCCATTAATAAAAGAAACGACCAAGTATAACTTAAGCCATTTCCATTAGCATAAATTTCCTGTTTTAACGTGCAAAAATCAAACATGGACGTTTTTCTTCACCCAGAAATGTTGCCTAGTTAAACTTTTCCTCTGCTTAAAAACAGACATCTACTGGTTTAGTGTAACAAGGTTTATGATAGAACATTTGCCACTCACATCTTTACCAAATAATTGGTCATGCTGGAATTAGAAAGTTCTAGATGTCACCCCCCAGGGGCTTTACCAATCAACTACACAGAAAGCAATTGCTTACAAACAGAGAATGTGTTCTTAAAGCTGTCTACCACTAAAATCTAGCACGACCATGATCATTTCAGTGCCAAAATAATACCTTGTAGTTGCTGAGGTGGAATAAGTTTCAACATCTCAAATTAATGTTTTGAAACAATATATTTTAATGTCCATTGTCACTTTTGAAATTGTAACTTTCTATGATCCACAAATATATAGATTTCGTTAAAATCCCAAAACTAGTATGAAGTTGCAAGACGACTCAAATCTATACAAACAGTTAATAAACCTAAAATCCAAGCAAATTCAAGACCACAGGAAGCCTCCATCAGATGCTTAAGATATAGTGACTGAGTTAGAAAGTTACCAGGTAACCTCTATATGCTGCCTGGATCTTAGTGGCAAAAAGGAGCTGGTTTCTTAATGTGGGTTCTGGACGGTGCACATTTTTTACTTCCTTTTGTTTCTGATTTATCTTAGGATGAGGTTGAGCCTTGGAAGATGCAGCCTTGGGAGAAGCCCTCGAAGAAATGGCCCTAGGAGAAACGGCCTTCGGAGAAACGGCTCTAGGAGAAGCAGCCCTGGGAGTAACAGTCCTCGGGGAAGGAGCTCTACGAGAAGCAGATTTAGGTGAACTGGCCCTTGGAGATGCTGGCCTTTCAGGTAAATTAGGTGGCGTTATTTGATGCTCTAAAGATGTTGGAGGCCTAATAAGCAGTTCATCTGCTTCCCCTAGAATTTTCTCAATGCTGCTTGGCCGTCTGAATAGGGGGGGAATGAATGATTTGGTTTCTCCATGCCCAAATGCGCCTCGCACTTTCTTCTTTTCCTTACCACTTTTCTTGTCAGATCCCTGCACCAATGGATATAAATTCTAGTCAGTTTTAAAGGACTCGGATGTGCCTTAAGACAAGGTTTATTTTCTTCACATGTGCAACCTCAACTTCCACATGGATAGGTGTACAAAACATGGTGCAATTGAGAAACAAGAACAATGAGCAATTTTAGCATAATTAGAAATGATGAATAACTAGAAGAAATAACATAAATGTATCTTGTGGAAATATCTGTTCTACTCGACTCTAACAGCAAGTAAAACTGTCATCTCAAAACAGGTTGGCAATCAATGGAGAGGCCATGCCGACCGGGCAGATAGACTAGATAGTGAAGTTGTAATTTGTTGATGTCAGACATGCTCCAATAAATAGAGCGGCTTATGCACTAAAAACTTAGTAAGGTCTTTACGCGGCGTTTTTTGATAAAACTGCCTCTTAAGACATCATATTCCCAAAATTCCATCAATAGTAAACTAGGACAAATAATAAGTTCTTCCAAGGATTTTCCGTGCAATTTCAGAGTACAGTAACATTATATTTATGTTTAGATATCAAAGTAAATCAGAGAAAAGGTAAAGACACTTAAACTTCTGACATCTTTATCTATCATGAAGAATTTTTATCAAATTCATTAATGAAATATTACTACATATTGAGTTTCAATTCTTTTATGCTGATATAGATATTTGACTGTTTTGCGTTCTAAAACATGTACCACATGTGGTAATAACTTTACATCACCACTCTGAGAAAAGGATTAAATAGGTAGGACTTACCTCCGAGCTGTGTGTAAAAACCCTCTTAATGACCGAAAGCCAACTTCCCTTCTTTCCCATATCGCTGTCAGTACTAATTCCACCTGAATTAGCAAAAACAGAGTTATCAGTTTAACATTTGTTATCCAATTTTTTTCATCTTTCATGTTATCAACAATGGTTTCGGCTATATGAGTCATTTTCTACCGTTGTGTTCAGTTCATCACTAAATGTACTAAAAAAAATCCAAAGAAACAGTTCTTTAACCACCACAAAATACGAATAAGAATGTGTCGCTTTTATGACCTTTTCTAGATCTACACATGACATATCCTAATTAGAATTCATCAGAAGTCCATTCAAACTTCGATGAAAAAATTTATAATTTCAGTTCGGAGGCCTCTATTCTTTATTACAATTTACAAACATTACTTCAATTTATAAGATTAGGTAGAAAAACTTGAAATATACACCTACCTGCGGGCTTAAGTGAAGCAAATATATTCAATCAATTCCACAGAAAATTCAATAATTATCTATAGTTCTGTCAATTGGAAAACACTAATATTAAACTACTTTGAAATGGGAAATTACTAGCCTAACATACTGTTTCTAAAGAAGATAAGATTTTTAGCCACTATCCCAAAATCAACAAATTTAAGAATTTAACAAGAAATACCAATGACTTAAATCTGGGATAACAAATTATAAACTCTTAAAAAGGAAAAAAAAATTAAAAAAAATCTAATACCCCCACCCCACCCGACCTAGGGACTTACCCACCCACCACCCAAAAAAACACTCTCGCACACAGACAGAGATAAGTTTGGGAAAAATCAATACGTAACAGTTCAAGAATATATGTTTGCCTAGAAAAGAGGAAAGACTAAACTTCTAAAACAAAATTACTTTTCAATAATTTGCAGGCAGAAGTGGCCTAATCCCAAGAGATCATATGTTATACCCTAATAAATCCAGCAAGATAATATTTACCTTAACTATTAGTTTCTTCAACCTTCAGAAGCCTTTGAGAAAAAGCTGCACCACCACTTTTACTCTCTCTCTCTCTATATACATATACGTACATATGTATATAGACTTCTCTCTCTAGAATCCTCTAACCTACCTCTCTAATAGTATACCAAAACATACTTCTTTCCCTTGAGACTAGCTTTTCTTGGGGTTGCTTTGATTCAAAATTGGCTACCCACAACTTTCCAACTCTGTGTGTGTGTGTGTGTGTTAAAAACTTTGAATATGGTTCTTGCTTGCAAAAGATTGCAACTTTCTTTTTCTCCCCACCTTTTTAGCTTTATTGTTTTTCTAATTTTTCTTTTAAAATGATGATCAATGATGAAAGATTAATGTTTATATGATACATTTTGTGTGTGAAAGGTGGGGTGGGGTGGGGTGAAGCAGGCAGCGCGTTGCCCACTTTTGCACTCAATTGCTTAGGCCAATGGCCACCTTCAACTACCTTGAATGCAAATTATTTATACTTAGACAATAATCTTAACCACTTATTATTAAACAAATGTATGGTTCATCTTTCTCACTTGTCTTATATTATATGTTATCATTAGATTTGGGAAAAATATAGTCATCGTTGCCCACTTGATAAATTTGTGCAAATTCAAGTAGCTTGGCCCTACTGAATTAATTTGTCCATTTTACCGTTAAAAATCAATATACATTAATTTTGAAGGGTAAAAATTCATGTGGTCTCACCTCACCTCACCTCCCAACCCTAATCTCTTAGCCTAACCCAATGGTGACATTTCCAAACTAGTTTCAACGATGTTTTTGACTTGAAGATAAAAACCCGTAGTCAAATATTAATGAGGAATAAATTTGAAATTGCTAAATGCTAACGTCAAAGAATATTTGAGAACTTGCAAGAAGAAAATTCATATGGACCGACCTTTAAATGACGTCGAAACTTGATGAAATTTAGATGATACTTATGATGTTGGGAAGACCCTTAAAGCATATTTTCCAATATGTGCACTTTAATCCTTAAAAAGTTGAAAACATGTAAAATAGCCCCAAGCTTCCCAAACTTCACAATATAAGCCACGTATCATACTCTAGAGAGTTTCGGAGTATTATACCATATACCGCGTCCAACCCATCCCCAAGTCTTCCCTTCCCCAGCATATATTTGAATCCAAACTAAATCTCTCTTATTGCTGCTAGATGGACTAGTTACGCACTGAAAATAAATTCAACTCCAACGATGATAGAATAGTTTAAAAGCGTGATGGAAAATCCTTTTACCAAAAATAAAATAAAATAATTTGAAACAAAATTTTATTTTTCTTGCACGTTGATTCTCGTGTCAAAAAAAGTCACTAAATCCAACATGGCCAAGTAAATTTTTTGGCAAAGGAGTTGTAAATATTTATTTTTTACGTCAAAAAATTTAATTAAATCTCACGTGACTCACAAATTTAATTTTTTTTTTATTTTTTTTGAGAAAAATATGACAGAGACTATAGATGACTTGGATAGTGGTCAATATTTTAGTAAATAAAGAGAAAAACTAGGTCTTAATTGAAAATTTCAAAATACTTTAAAGTGAAATTTGGTGCCATTAACAAGAACACGTTTTCACTTTACTCTCCTGATATCAGAAAAACTGCACTCATATGACTAGGTCTTGCCACGGCGTGTTGAATGATTGCCTTAGATTGTGGACTGGGGAAGCAGTCCACGGGGACCTCGCTGTGCATGCCAGCATTGTACGTCCATCCGTACGTGATTTTAGTGTTTCAAGGCTTGTTTGACTACGATTAAAATCTAATTAAAATTGAAAATATAGTCGTTATTGGGTCCTACCCGTCTAATAAAAGTTAACTCCAACGGCTATATTTTCAATTTTAATTTGATTTTAATCCCTCCCAAACAAACTCTTAAAAAGCAATTGTGTTAGACAAACAGGTTCAAAAATAAGAGAACACATGTCGACACGTGATTGAACAGTTTGAAAAAATAAAAACACAACATTCAATTATTATCTGCCACATCACCATATCCCTCCATCCTGTCCAATGAGCATTATTCTTTAAAAATAGTAAAGCATGACTAGACGTTGAAGTCGATCTTTAACCTTTACGAGCCAAAGAATTAAAATGCGTTTTCTTATTTTTTTAAATTATTCTAAATTTTTAATCATTCTAAAAAAAATTTAATAATTAAAATAATACATATCAAACAACTAAAATTATAAAATATTATATTTACTATAATTTCTGCAATTAGTCAATTTTATAAAATTGTCAAGTATTCGTAATGCACAAATTAGACTATTTTTCATAGTTCCAACTTTTAACTAAACAATTCCTACTTGAAATTTTCTATCGTGTTTTCATTTGTTACTTTTGTACACGTATAATCATTTAAAAATTTCAAACTAAAGTCAAATAAAATGTTTTTAAAATAGAAAAAATAAATTAATTAATATAGCGCCACTGGGCACTCGTTGTCAAAGCGGACGTTTCGCTCGATTCTCGAGCCTAAACGTCGCTTAGATAGACTTTTTAGAACACTAGCTGAAACTTAAGAAAGTTAATGTAATAAAATTTATGTAATGAAAAAAAAAATCGTTAAGAGGACATTATTTATTTAAATCATTTTTTGTCGAGGATTTGAAACATAATATTTTATCTATAGTAAAACCTAGATGAACTTTGTCAGTAAGTTCTCGTTTAAGAAGTGTTGCACGACAGTAATTGAAGGCTGATTTTCGATCAGTGTATAATGAAGTATACATTCACTAGATTGACATTTTTTTTTTTAATGAAAACAATAATCAAATAATAGGAAGTTAAGGCAACAACAATTTAACGTTAAATCGGCAAGACAACAACAATACAATTTATTCAATAATAAACTGCAAAGTAACAACAATCTAATTTATAAATAAGTCGATGTGATATATTTTACAGAGATTTTTTTAGCCAAAAAAACGTATATGTACTGCAAAGTTTTGAGCTCATCTCTTTACGATTGATTAGGGGTCGCAAATTGTGGATTCATCGTGCACGGGGTTCTATTCGTTCACAAATTGATAAATCGAGTTGCATAACATGTCTGAATTAAGGTATCATAGTACGCGAAATTTTTTTCACGTATTCTTCAAAACATTTACTTCAATATACATATTAGTTTCCTAATTTTATTTTATTGTCTTGTTATTTAAATTTTATTTGTTGTCTTTTCTAGATTGATATGTTTCTTACCTCCTAAAGCTACAATACACCATATTTCTATGTTATCCTGTCGGATGGTAGGCATTCTTCTAAGATAATCAAATATAATATTGCCCATTTTCTTGATTTCATGAAAATTCGATGACTCATTTATATTAAAATAGTAAAATAATTAAAATTTTAATGATTTTCTTTCATTAATACAGTTTAGTATACAATTTCCATATCAAACTATTTCAATAATATTCCATCGAAAGGGACAAGCTATAAAAGTCAAATAACAAAAAGGGTAGACGTGTTTTATACATCACAAATGAGCCAAATGGTAAAAAGGGTCAACATGTTTGGTACAAATTAGGAGCGGACGCGGACATTTTGATTTGGGAGCACAATCAAATCATGTACAAATCGAATACTTTGATTTTGATTTTGAATTGTTCGTATTTGATTCGAAACAATGCAAATTTACATTTTAAAAGCATTTCTTCATTACTATTTTGCTAATCATTTTCATCCATTTGATTTCGAAGAGTCGTTTTATTAAAATTTTGTTCGTCACAAGAAAATGCATATTTATTTTTAAAAATCTTATAATTTATTTAATACAAACAATCAATTCAATTAATTGAAAAGAAAAACATATAACTAATAATCAATCAAATAAACACAATTCGTTAAACATAAGTCAAATTAGATATAATGAGTTCAAATACATTCTATATACATAGTTTGACAGAAGAAAATGTAAATTTGAGTTCTAATTACTTGAAAATTTGATTGGAAAGTGATAATTTGTAGTAAATGTGATAATTTGTAAAGAAATTATATACAAATTTTAAAAAATTAGAAGAGTTAAGATTTTGTTAAAAGATGAGAGGAAAAGAGTAAGAGAGAGCAAGAGAAAAGAAAAAAAAATTCAAATTTATTGTAATTTTGCCTATATTTGGTGGAGATTAAAATCAATTTTTTAGTAAATTTTGATAAATATTAAATGTTATGGATTCCATAAAATATGTTATTAAAATTAATTATTAACTTCGATTTAAATTAAAATTTAGATTCAATTGATACCAAACATGACTTTATAATAATTACCAAAAAAAAATTCAAAAGTTTGGGATCACGTGACCCTTGGGACCCCCCAGGTCCGCCCCGAACTACAAATTGGAAATAAATAGTACTATATAATAAGATTTTGACTATTTTCTTTTCATCATCTATTTGATAAAGCTTTTGTTTTTACTTTTGCTTGTTGAAGAATTTTATTAAGAAGCTATCTTAGATTAACTTCTTTTAAAATATTTTCAAAAAACTATCAAAATAGGTTCAAAACATCTTAATTTTAGAGTTAGTCTTTGACTTTTCAAAAGGCCAAATAGACCCTTGATATTGTTTAGCTCTTGTTTTGAGGGCCATTATTTTGAATAATGATTTTTTTGGGAGAATTTTTGGTTAAAAAGTAAAGAAATTTTTTGATGAATGCGTGGTTAAGATGAATATAAGTATAAGAATTAAAGAATTATATTTTAAAGGGAGATGAACATGAACTCAGTATATTACAATTCATCACAACCAGCAACAAAAAAAATATTTATTGAAATGACAACGAGCCATAATAAGAAATTATTCTGACGATATAAAAGTGAAAAATAGAAGCAAAGAAATGAATTCGATCTGCAAAATAAACTCATGAACGGTGCTGGTTGTACAAGGCCACTTGGACCCTGTCCTACTAGTGACACCCCTATAGGTGGGGGACCTGTGTGGCCTCATGCAACTAGTGACACCCCTATAGGTGGGGGACCTGTGTGGCCTTATGCAACCATCAAGGCAATGCTTGTTGTACAGGGCCAATGTACAACCATCAAATTCCTAAACTCATTACTACTCATCTGCCAATACCATTCTGCTCAAAGGACTTGGCCCAAGTTTTTTCCTTCTCATCACACTTCTTCTCTTAATAATTTCCATCTCATTCCTTCTCCTAACTTGCATAACTCCTTCTTCAATAACTAACCTCTTCATTAAAACATCGTCTGTCAAAGATTTCCCACGAAAAATTTTCCGTCCTTCAATACTCATTCTCGCACTCGTAATTCTTTCTTGAGAGGAGGCAAGCAAGGGCTTCGATGGCGAATAGCTATAACTTCGTCTAGACGGAACTTCGTCTTGAAACACATCTATATAGGAAGATATCGGCGCACATAGACAAACTCGAGTAAACGAGGTGGCCACCCTTAAAGATGTGCATTTTCTCATCTTTTGGGATTTTTTGGAATTTGGTGAGGAAATCTCTGTTGCTTTGGAAACTGTTTTCCAAAATAAGCCATTTGTTGTGGGAATTTTAGTAGATTTTGGATTAGATTTCCATAGTTTGGCCATCTCCATTGCTCTTTGATACCAAGGCTTCCTACCAAAAAAAAAAAAAAACACGTGCACCCATTATTTTTATTTTCTTGATAATGTAAATATATTTTTCAAATTTATTCAAAAATTTGAAGTTTCAAATTCAAAGTATCGTCACATCTCAATCAAAGCACGAAGCAAAATCAAAACGTTGGACCGTTGAAATGAACGGTTCAGATTGAAAGCACAACCACTACAAGACATTTATCCCAAAAAAGGTCAACAAGGCAGGGACAGATCACTATGTTATCTCTTCATATTAATATCCTAACATTAGTGGAGTCGTCAACTCCAAAATGGATCAAAGGATTGAAGTCAAGATGGACGGTGTAGATTTCTTGCGGTGATGATTGGGTCCTAATAAAGTCAACTGCACGTTTCAACTTCACATAGAGCCACGATTCCCAAAATCATACGCCGGTGTACAATTGGGTTCATATTTAATTTTTAATTTTCTAAAAAGAGAATATTCAGCTCGAGACCCGTTCGACATGTATTTTGAAAGAGCAGTGTTAAGACAAACAGAGAAAATGGACAAAAATTTGAAAACAAATACACTTGGCAGCAATTCAATGGAAGATGGGAATTTTTTTTTAAAAAATAGACGAATCACAAATCGCCACATCTGTTTGTTTTTCCCCCTGTCTGGTTTCCCTATTTGAGTAGATTAATTCATTTTGAAAAGTCGAAAAAGATTGAGAAATAAAATTTATTTTTGGATCCGTTTGGTAATTTTATATAAGTATTTCTTTTAATTAAAAATTAGTTTCTAAACAACAAGTAACTTTTTTAGAAATCTCTTTTATAAAAAGTATAAATAAAAACAAAAATCCTGTCAAACAGACGTCCAGAGGTTCAAATTGTTCGGGCAGCCTAGACCCAAGCAACTCGGCTTGAAGTGCCCTGACTCGCTTTCAAAGTGAAGTCTTTATATTCTACCACACTTGAGCCTTAAGCCCAAATTCAGTGGCTCACTGCCAGTGGATATTCAAATACTATGTAATGAAACTTTATCAATTTTTTTTTTAATAATCAACTATGAGAATTAATGCTATTAAATTTGGTAAAACCTTATAGCATATTCATAGTCAATTATTTCAATTAAGTCTAAATTCCAGATAAATTGGGGATAAAATAATTCGAAAAGAATTTTATGTTTCATCAAATAACATGCAATGCGAACACTCTCATCTCTCTAACTTAAAATCTTAAACATAGCGATAATGCAATGTAAAAATGCATTTTGCCGGAGAAAGAACGTTTGATACATAACATTAAATAAAATTGAATCGTCACCCCAAAAAAAAAAAAGCAAGATCAAATATCTACTCCATGTACTAGGGAAAACCTCATCAAATTTTGCAACTAGAGAGAGAGAGAGAGAGGGAGGTACCTTGAATGAGAGTTGTTTGGATCTTGCATGAACAAATTAAACAGATAGTTGTAAGTATTACAGAGCTTGAGAAATTCTTATGCATGTCATTTGGTTCTATATAAAGAGCTTTTTGTTTAATTTATGAGTACTCAAAGCAAAGATAGGTTGGCATTTGGCATTTGGCAATGTCTTTTCTTTCTTTATCAATTACTCTTTCTCCTTTTGCTTTTTGCAGACATGATTCCTGCTGATTGAGAGAGATAAAGTGAAGGCTCAACACTCAAAATTTAATTTCAAAGTGTAAAAGTAATTCTTTTCTTTTTAATTAAATTAATCAAATACTACAATTTAGAAAAAAAAAAATTATATGGCATATTGATGAGGTAGATTAGATAATACGTGGTGGTTAAAGGAAAAAACCATTCAATCTCGTCTAATACAAATGCTATGTTTCAAACACAACGTCGAGTTGGATAACATTGATAGTACTGACTTTTCAAGAAATCTGCACATATTTTTGGATTAAAAAAGTATGTTTATGTTATAAGGTCAATTCTCATCCCCCGTGTAGATGACTTTCCTACACTGGGAAGAGTTGGTTCTCATTTCGAGTGTGCGGCGATCAACGATTTTGCCCCTAAAAAATATATTTACGATGCATTCATCTAATACAATTCAAGAAGTTAATTTGTTTATCCATCTAATGCCTTGTAAATGATTAGAAATATTTGGTAACATAAAAACTATACAGACATGAAAGATATTTCGTCACATGTCGAGTAAAAGAAAAGAAATGCTTAAATGCTTATAATTATATTTGCACCCTTATATGGTATGATTGTGAGCATGTCACATCAGTTGGTACACTTATAATAAATACAGTGAAAGCATGCCCTAATGCTCGTGTATGTGGCTTTTAAACAATTAATTATCTTTGTAATGAAATCATTATTGCTTTAGATTATGTCTCCACACACTTCATAGTGTAATATTAGTCATGAAACCTAGTTGGATTTGGAACACATTATATACTTTTTTTTTTTCTATATTTATAGCTTATTTTAACTGAATTTTCAGATTTTATTGAAGAATTCCGACACTTGGAAAATTTAGCAAACATATAATAACGATATATTTGATCACGGTAATAAACCAGTTATACTCTCTCTGTTTTTTTAGTTATATCTAATCGTGTCGAGTACGCAATAGACAAACATGTTATAGAGGTCATGACGAGAATGAAATAAATAAAAATTAGCTTCACATACAAAATAATAATAATAATAATAATAAAATCAAATAAAATCATAAGATTTGACACCATCGCTTATAATTAACATAAAGTTGTGTGGAAAAGGCATGTGACAACTTTCCTTAATTCCATGCTAATGGATGGCATCATGATTAATTTTGTTAATGGTGCTCAATCCCAAAAGACATTATGATTGCATCTGTGGGATTAGGGATTGCCCTTTGCTCTAAATAATTAAAGCTTTTATATTAAATCAATTTAATACATAATTTATCTCGTGTCTAACTGATGTGAAATTTTGTTCTTACTTTGTTAACAATTCTTTCGAACGGAGTATCATATTGTCTCAACCTCTCATCAAATGATAACGTGTCAGTTCATCCTCAAAGTAAGAAGGATCACATGCTCTATGAAAACTCAACTCTTCCACCGTGTTAAGGGTCAACGTCTTAACCTCTTCTAAGAGTCGATTCTCGATTTTTTTCCAGTATTGTGATTAATTGAGTCCACACAGTCGTTTGCTGCAAATGTAAATTCCATATGATCAAGATTAAGTCCTGGCTTATAAACGTTCCATTCCAGAATATTAACATATTTATTGAAATAGCTAAATTTTATTGAAGACGCAGCTCAACTCCCAAAAAAGTCAAATTATCAAGTAAAGTCCATTAACTATCTCATGTCTAATAAATGTGGGATTTTTTTCACACTTTACTAACCATTATCATGTCTAAAACCATTTCTTTTATTTTATAAGAGAAATTAACCATATGGTGGCTTTTCATATATAGTGCTCATTGTGGGGAAATGGAAAACTATATCCGAACAAATCAAATTTCGAATACATGCAATTTAATTCATTGGACGATGTCACGATAACATATAAAACGAAAGATATTTTAGGGGTTGATAAGGTTTCTTGTAAAGGCTCTCCGACTCTCTGTAGATGAGAGACGAGGTTCTCAAGGGAAGTTTCCCCAAGGTCAAATGCCCGTAGTGTTTCACCGCAATAACAAGCACATGTGACTTATAGAACATACTTTTACAATAGCCATTACAATAACCCCTACTCCACATTTTTCCTCGCCCCTTCCTCATTCGCATTTACTCGGGACCCCAAATAGCTTTCGGAGTTCTGAGTCCCGTGGAAAGACGAGGCCGGTGACAAGCACATTGCAGAAATCAATGAAACTAAGGAGAGAAAACGGTATTCAGAATCTCTACCAGAAAGTTTATACAGAGACACCTAGCAGTCAACATACAAATCTAGAAGTACAGACAATAACTCAACCTCAATGTTACAGACCCTGATTGTCACTCATAGAACAGATGCCAAGTGATCTGTTCACAAACTACAGAATTTGACTCTTATCCAGGTGGACAACTCAACCCCTAGTGAAATCAGAACTGCCATTTTCTCAAACGACACTGAAAGACGCCATCAAAGTCATTGGCTGCCAGGTTCATCAGTCTGCTGTCGACTCCAATTACCAGCTTTACGCTCTCCTCGCTTTCTTTTATTAATCGGAAAATGTATCTCTGAAGCTAAGCATGATTCCAGAATTGATTGTTCTTGGGATACGGCAGTAATTCCTCCTGCATCAGTATCTAATTCTGGAAGGGATGCGATATTGCTGTCTTCTTTCTCACTATTTTCACCGTCTTGAGGCTTCTCGGCAGATTCACCATGATTGTTTTCGGTAGGTAGCCCCTCCACGTCGACCCCCTCGTTATGTAGTATGTTATCAACAATCTGTAGAAACCAGTCAAAAAATGTCCAAAATAGAATTTTTTTTTTTTTTTTTGATAACCGTGGATGTTCGGGCCAGCTTGCGCGCACCTCGACTAATTCCATGGGGCCCTATAGTTTACGGTCGGGTACTCCCCTTAGTGGCCCTGAGGGGACTCGAACTGATGACCTCTTTTTTTTTTTTGATAACCGTGGATGTCCGGGCCAGCTTGCGCGCACCTCGACTAATTCCACGGGGCCCTGAAGTTTACGGCCGGGTACTCACCTCAGTGGCCCTGAGGGGACTCGAACTGGTGACCATTGGGGAGCAAACCCAAGGCCTGACCAATTGAGCAATCCCTCAGGATTAGAAAATGTCCAAAATAGAAAATAACAGATAACTTGGACATAACAGTACCTTTATGGAAAAATATATTAGTTCTCTACATTGGGGAAAAGTCTAAGAGCATAAATTGCGTCTCCAGCTTATTCTGACTTTTTTTTTTTTGGCAACATCCTTGTCGAGAATCAATTTATCGACTAACAACTATTCAAGGCGACCTTATTAGAAATAAGACTCAGGGCATCCAGTCGAGTTGGTTTTTCTTTTACTAGGTGGTCTAAATTCCTTCGACCAAGTCTTTCTTTTCCCTGTAAACATGTTTTCTTAATGTATTAAAGAGAGCATAACGAATGTCGTGAAGTTACAAGCCAGAACTCATTGACGCATGGGCAGATTTACAGTGGGGGAAGTGGGGTCAGCTGCCCCCACACTATTGGATTTTCAAGATTTTGCACAGGATTTTCAAAAAATTCCTTATAGTTTTGAATTTTGCCCCCACAATTAAAATTTTATGAAATTTGCCCCAAAACTCTACAATCCTAGCTCCACCCCTTCACTGACGCAAGAAGCCAGCAAGAGGTGGAGATGGAGGAAGGTATGGTTACATTATGTAACAGAGTACCATGCAAATTTTACCGTTAAACAGAGGATTGTGTCTTACTCTTTCAGACGAATCGCCAACTTCTGCCTGATGCGGGGTGACATCAACAGATGATAACAAGCCAACTGTACTTTCAATTATATCAGGAACAGGAATGGCCTCTCTGTAGCTCGATGCTGCAGTTTCAGGCATAATGAAATCTCCTAGATCATAGCATGACAAGTGCTGAGTTGGCACATATAGACCTCCAACTGAAAATGTCTCTCCATTACAAGCAGAGAATGTAGAGCTATGGACAAAGCTCGTCTGAGCATCATATGCCACAAGCTGGCTCAAGTTTTCAGATGAAGAAAATTTTGCTGCACTTTTTACCATGGTAGAATCAAGTCGGACCTTCATTTTATGAACCCGAGTCTGCACTAAATCAATCTTGCGAAGGATATGCTCGAGGTCATTGTCCTTGTCTTCAAGAAACGAGTAATCATCATGAACTTCAGATTCATCATAGCCACTATTATTCTGATCTGTAAACATGAATAAAAGAGAAGCTACACTCATCCCGCATCACAAACAAAGCCTTTTAATCATAGCAACAGAAAGAAAATGATACATTTTACAAGATTAAGATAGTTGAAGATATAATCATCTCACCAAGTAATGAAATACACAACACCCTTATTGTAAAGGTTCAAAAGCAACAAAACTAGAAATGTCACAAGTATCCAGGGAAAGTTGCATTTTGTACGAGTTTTTTCTCCAATCATGGTAGGAATAAGAGTAATACGCAAGTCCTTCATTTTAGACAATTGAACTGTTCAAAACAGATAGTTTTAGGTATTTAGGTTCGACAATTGACGAGGAATTGAAGAGGATGAAAGTATAGAGTTAGCGTTAGTTCGATAAAAGAATGTTAAAATGATTCTCCGTAGTAGAAAAATGTCTATATAGGTAAATTCTAAATTATGGTTAATAAATCAGCTATGTTTTGTGGTACTGATTATTGGGTGGTTGAACGGCAAATTGCTCATTAGATAAGTCAAAAAGTCATACAGCTTTATTTTTTTCAAAAATCAACCAGTACGTAACGAGCTCACTGAGAAAATTAAAATTTCCCTTTCCCGTTATATGAGAAAACTGTACTTGAAACCTTACTTTCAATAGATCTATGGAAGTAAAGGGAAATAAATTCTGACACGAAGATGTGAGTAATACATTTCTTCTTGTATTCCCCATAACAATAATTGTATTATTCATAGAAATGCAACAGTTTGGCTTACATTATAATTGGGTGGGTTATGAGCAAATATACCAATCAGGCGAGTCTACCAACTTCAAAAAGGTAACAAATTGAAGAAAATTAGGAAGAAAATACTAACAATGTCCAGTATCTTGTGGGCATCATCCTAGGACTTCTTCATACCATCTAGGTAAACTGAACTTGAGAAGTTTGGAATCTAAACTAATAAAAAGAACATTTTAAGTTGATAGAAATTTCCTTGCATAAATCAAACCTGACTTGAACTAGAACCTATTAGGAAACATGAGGTGTGGATAATACATTCTCATATCCAGCAAAAACAGAGCACATTATTTACAAATTTGCCGTAAAAATCCAGACAAATTTAACCATTATGTAACCAGACTAAACTAAAAAAAATTCTAAAATAAGCAACAATCAGACTGGAAACTGGTTAAACGCCTCCAAACAATCCCCTGTTCTTTATTCTTAAGTAGGGCAAGGTTAATATGAACTCAAAACGTTAGAAATGCTGACCAGATATGAATATAATAAAACTTCATAGCCAAAGGTCTGTCATTTTAGGTAAAGCATCAAACTTCTAGACTTATCTGGAGATAATTCATGGTGCACAATGATTCACATCAAAATTCAATCCCCTAATTGAGATTATACATTCTCATAACTTACAAAGAATACTTCATGAAAGTGAAGGACGTAAGCTTTCCAAACATATAGCTAAAATATACAATCAAAGCAAAAAAATTTAATAGGCCATCTAGGCCTTAGTCGTACCTGGGATACCAAAGTCATCCCGTATAGGAGTTCCATCCACATCAGGCCACTTATTTTCTGCAATATATCATATCAATGGGTAATTTCTCTACAACAACCATGACAGAAAAATAGAGACAGCAAACATGCCAGATTGGACAGTACAGGGTATTATAGAATAAATACACATAAAAAATCATTTTTGTTATCTTCTGAAGTGTTAAGACGATTATTTCAGATTGATCAGAACAAGTAGCTGTAGCAAAGAAATAGAATTGGGTGCCATGTCAATTCCATACACAGTCCAGTGGTATAAAGAAAGAAGTCATACCATGACCAGAAAAAAGAATATGATTTGACATATATGATGCAATATCAGTTGTATCTTCCACTCTCTTCCGTTTTCTTCTCTTCATAGGCCTTTTTCTATGATCTTGGGATTTAAATGGTAACGACCTTGAGCCAGATTTTTCAACTGTTCCATGATCTATTGACATATGCTTTTTTCGATCTTGTGCTGCGATATACCTGTCATACTTTGATGCTCGTGATTCTAATTCCTTTATTCTTAATTCTGTCCATTTGCACCTCCACATCAGAGGATGTATAAAGTTTCTCCAGTGAGTAGTCAATTTTTTCTTCCTGAAAGAAGTAAATTAAATCAGTTGAGCATTTATTCCTTATTATTTTTCGATTGCTGGAAAACTGGCTCTTTTTCAAATTATACTTCATTTGATAGTGATATATTTGATTTACTAATCCTAAACTGGTATGCACATAAAAGCTAGAGAGAGCCACCCTGTATTTCAGCATTTAGAACCAATACAAGCTAAATATTCCAACTCTAGTAGACGAATACAAAATAATATATCTATGCTAGACGTCGGACAAGCTCAAAATTCGGAAATAATTAAAAGGAATGAGCGAATGGAGAGATCCATCCAGTTAAGCTCCAACCACGTGGAGATCATTTCTGATGTATCATTATCTTTCAATAATTAGAAAGTTTGGTTTATGAAGTTTTTTAAATAACATATGAATGATATATATAGCATGGTTCACAAATAATTAAATGGTTTTCTTTTTGTAAACTAGAAGAAAGAATAGATAAGTGGAAAACGCCGCACCTCATGGGAAATATACTATTAAATCCAAATGGAGGCATCACATCATTGTCGTCAAAAAACTGCGATTCAACTTCGGCATCACTCAATTCAGAACTATTCCCATTTCCAGAAGTTGTGTTGGTGAATGAGCTTGAATATTCAGTTGCATCTGGATCCTCTTTCGCAACAACTCCTTTGTCATTGCCACGTACATATTCAATTACATCAACAGAGACATTTTCCATACCCTTTGGATCTTCACTCTTTTCCTTAGATATATTTCCCATTTGATAGTTGGACTCCTGAGGAAACTTGCACCGTTCATAAATAAATATGTGAAGAAAATAACATTATTAGACACATCTTTGATGATCTACATGGAGACAGAGCCCTTTGTACCTCTGTTCAAAATAAAAAGGACAATCATGAGGACCGAAGTTATATAGTGTGGAAGCTATAGCAATTATGATGAGATAAAGATGTGCACATACCGTAACATCCAAGGAAGAACCATTATTAATCATCAGAATCAATAATGATAAGATCAAGATTAATCACACAAGATTGTGCACAAATTGTAACATCCAAGGAAGAATCATTATAATCCGTTTAATCTACATAATCAATGCTTGATTTAGTCCAATTCAGCTAGAGTTTCAAATATCCATTCCCAAATTACAGAAAAAACGCACAAATTGATTAAGAGTCTGTTTGATATAGATTTTTTAAGAATAGATTTTGTGGAAAGTGATATTTTGTAGAATTTATGGTTAAAAAATAGAAAAAGTAATGGGTTTACATGCAAAGTTATTTTATTGAAAGAAAGTGTAGTTGAAAATAAGCCCTGTTTGGCCCCTATTATTTGATGTTATAATTTTTGAAATAATTTTTTTTTGGAGAATGTGTGGTTGAAAAATAATGAAATTTTTTTTGTTTATGTATATTATTTTATTGGAGAATGTGTGATTAAAAATAAGAGAAGAAAAATGTATTATAAATTAATGGGGGCCAAATGGGGATTGAGTTTTAAGAAAAATGAGTTTTATTGAATCTGCACCAAACGGGGGCTAATTCCTCTAATAGGTTATCTTCACTTGTAAAAATCAAAAGTTTGACCATCGAAAAATGTGGTTGAAGTAAAACTATATAGAACAACTTAATATATAGTCCGCTAATCATAATGGACAGTGGACACCAAAGGAGATGGCACTAATTGAAAATAAATTAAGAAAAATCGACAACTTCGATGTTTGAGTCTCGTCTTAAGTAGACTTGGAGATGGAATGTTCGCAAGAAAACATAAACGTAAATTAGTATAATTGTAAAATTTGATTTATTTCAGTCTGAATATAATAGTGGAATCACAAAAAATTTCATGCAGTGTACCCCCAAATTTATTAGGAAAAAGGCTTATGTTGTAGTTAATAATTTTGAATGTTTAAATAAACTCCTAATATCAAAATAAACAGAATATTTAAAAAAAAAAAAAAACCCGAAAAAAAAAGAAAGAAAAATGATCCTTCAACTGCTTAGATGATCAATTATGACTCCAGTAACAAAACCCAAAATACGAACAATCATATCCGCATACCTTAAATCAAATAAACCAAGAATACATAATTAAATTCCCAGTACAACATTCATGCTACATTTAATAATAACAAAAAAGATCATTCTCAAATTTCGCAGTTGGGTTTTGTATTGCGTGTGTGTAAGCGAACGAGAGCGAAGCCGCTCCAGAAGCATGCATTTCAAGACATTCGGTATTCCTTCAAATTTGCATGCAAAAAAATCTCAAATTCAAGAAAGATGGTAAAAATGCATAATTGGAATTCAAGGCTAAAACTCTGCAAAAGGAACAACTTGAAATTATGAGCTTCTGGAGAAGAAACCCATCAATAAATATTCATAATTCATGCAAAAAAAAGGTGAGAGAAAGAAGGTTTTACCAGCGGAGTGGCGTGTGTGGGAGAGGAGGGAGGGAGGTTTGGCGGCGACTGAACAAAGCGGCGTACTTGAGTAGAAGAAATGGACGTTATGTTTTTTGAGATAATAATTATTAGAGTGCGCGCGTCTGACCTAAACATTGTGCAACTTATTTTACATGTAACAATTCCCTCTTTTGGCCAACACCTTATGCGCTTCCCATATATTTGATGACCTTAGTAGCACGACGGATGTAGAAGTTTATAGTTAGGGAGCACAATCGAACTTACAAAGAAGTAAGGAGAAATTTTATAATCGAAAATTTACTTCCAAATAAAATCATACCCTATGTAATTTTGCATAAGAAAATTTACATGAGATATGACTTTTTCGGATATAAAATTTCTAAAATTTTTGAGTCATATTCCATATAAAATTTTCCAATAAAGTGATGAAAATTATATCGAGAAATTTGTATTGCAAAAATAATAAATGTTAATGAAATGATTGATTTTTTTATTTTTTTTTTAATGTGAGTTAGACGTATTTCTTTAAGACTCACGTTTAACTATTTTTAACTATTTTCGATATCCGTTTGGATTATTCGATATGCCCATAATATAGTTCTTCAAATAAGTTTTGAAATGACACAAGTAATTTGTAGATTCGATTAGCGTACGATCGTCGTAGAATTTTTAAAATTAGCATGTTATCGAAATTCAAATTTATTGTAATTTTGCCCATACTGTATTTGGTGGAGATTAAAATTAATTTTTTAGTAAATTTTGATAAAAGTGAAACAATTATGGATTCCATGAAATGTGTTATTAAAATTAATTGTTAACTTTGATTTAGATTAAAATTTAGATTTATATCTTTTGTCAGTACAATACATATAAAAGAATAGGATATTGTGTCGGACAGGTCACCAGCCCAATTTTTTTTTTTTTTTTATTTTGAAGAAAAAGAAAGGATTGTGTAATGGAACGGGGTAGAACGATCTATTAGAATGATAAAGGAATGGAGTGATATCGAGGCAATCGTTCCCATCTCCCGTCCCATCAAAAATTTTCATTAGTCAAGACGATAATAAAATATTCACATTTACCTATTTATTTTCTAATACTGGTTTATTAAACTAGTAAATAATCATCAAGACGAATGCATCTTTGTACCAATTTCCTACTAGCGCAGAATTGAGGTATTTTTTCATCCCTAATAGCTTGTTTCTCTAGATAAATTAGCCATGAAAAAGTCCATCCTAAAACAAAGAAAGATCGAGTCAACGACCTTAATTCATAAATTTAACTTAACTTGGTTAGTGCCTATAATAGAAGCGTAGCGTTGGATGAATGTATATCGACAATGCTTTCTCAGTTTATAGTTCATGAGGCACCGTAATCATGTTGGTGAAATTTTGGTTAGCAATCTCTTTTGATGTAGAGTTGATCAAAGCGTAGCCACTTGTGACCTGGGTGACCCGACTCTAAGGCCGGCACTAGTGGCCATAGTGCCCTGGGCTATCCAGGATTTTGGATCACAAAGCCCTAAAGCCCATCGTGTTGGGCCGACCCTCTTTTTTAGCCCTAAGGGCCCACTTTCTTTTTCTTTTTTCTGGCCTTTTTTTATTAAAAAAAATAGGGGTACTTACAAAAATACACTTAAAATTAGGGATGTTTTGAAAAATCATATGAAATGTTTTTATGAAGTAAAAAATACTACTTTTTTGAAAAAAAGATTTAAAAAAAGTGACAAATACCAAAATACCACCATCCATCTGTCGGCACCAGTAATCATGTTCTTAAAATAATCAGCATGTCAAGACCAATCCACATACTGATTATGTTAGGAAAATATAATATATTATTTCATTTTTTTTTATCCTCTTAAAAAGTGACAAAAACCTAAAATAAAGTGACAAAATTTTAAAAAGTGATGCAATGTCAATTTTATAAAATTGACGAGCAACTTTGACATCCATAGATGGTAATGCATAAAATTAAGTAAGCGACAGTGTGACACAGTCTCTCTCACTTTTATAACAAAAGTGATTTTGCTAGTAAAAAAAAGTGATTAAAAAACTAAAAAGGTAATAGAAAATAGTGACAAACTATAAAAAGTGAATGAAACTCAAAAAAAGTGACAGAACTTAGAAAAATTAGTAGTCAATTAGCAATCAAGAACATGAGGCGGAAAATGAAAAACAAATATTTCCTCCTTTAGCTAGTTAGCCCAATAACTAGTGCAACCTTATCCCATTAGTTCCACCAAGTTTTCTTGCACCATATGTCAAATATGACAGATGTGATAACATCACAATTCAGCTGGGAAATCATAGAATTTGTAATAATTAATAGTCTGTTTAGTTTAAACTAAATTTATGCTTATGGTTCTAAATTCAAATCCTGGCCTCCCATCATTTTCCCAAAAATCAAGTAAATCCAAATAGTAGCCATTTCAATCCCTTTTAAACTTTCACATCAATTTTTACCGACATTACACATAATGAAAATAACAATAAACTCAATTTACTTCCAAATCATCGTATTTCATGCAAAAAAAAAAAGATCACCATTTGGCACGAACAATGAGTTTCAATGTGGATGGCTAGGGAGCAATACACAGTCCCTCGGTTGCAATTTTATACAATACGTAGAGCTGCAATTGCAAATCATTCAACAACTTCCGAGCTGCTTTCTTGGCTGCAATAATCGCCACAAACGCCGTTGCCAAATAAATTCCTCATTCAACTAAGTATTCTCTATTCCTTCCGAGTCATCATCACAATCACTATGATCACCAACAATCGAGCTTCCATAACCTAATTCTTTACTTTCACTAATCAACGACTCTTTTCCTCAATTATTTAGGTTTGAATTTCGATTCGAGTGTAGCAGAATAGGTAATTCGGAAAACGAGCAACCTATGCTGATATTGGGTGAGTGAGTTTCCTTTGGAAGTTTTCTGGAATTGGGACTGATATGAGTTTTGGGGGATTGGAGGGTTTTAGAACGTATTAAATATATGGTTAAATAATTAGTTAATTTTTTAGGACATGTGGCCTAATTTGCCCAAAAAAATATGGGTTGTCTAGGGGTTAGTTTGATTGACTCGGGTTGCCCTCCACGTCCGTGCTCACTGGCCATGCAGGGGCATCAGTTTGAATTACACCATAAGGGGAGAAGAACTAAATATGCTCGAAGAGGAGCTTTGCAATGAAATACTAAAGTATCAAAGATTAAAAAGACATTAGTTTAATATTATCCAGTATATTTGAGAGACAGTAACAAATTAAACATTTTACAAAGATTTTATTTAAATGTACAAGATAAATAGTGTAAGGAAAATTAATCCTCTCTCTCTCTCGCTCTCTCTAATTATTACTTTTTGTTGACTTTATTAATTACGTGATATCGGTTAGATCGGCGAGGCATTACGCTAGCAAAAACGTTAACAATTATTCTAACGACGACAAAAGTGGAACATTTTACAAATGTACGAGAGACTCGAATTTCTAAACAAGGTAAGATCATTATTAAGCCCTTGTTTGAGTCCCATTTTAGGAAAAAATGTATTTTAAAGTGGTGATTTTTTTAGAGAATGTATGATTAAAAAAATAAGATTATTTTTTTATTTACGTGTGAAATTATTTTATTAAAAAATGTGTGATTGAAAATAAGTTTTAAAAAAATGGGGCTCAAACAAGAGTTAAAGATAATTATAGCTTTTTTACATTTAATTTTAATAGCACATTTGATGTAAAATAATTTAGAATAAATTTTAGGAGAAGCATTTTTTTGTTTTTATTAAGAAAAGAGAAAATTCATGATTTATGTGTAAAAAAAATTTATTGAAAGAATGCGTACTTTTGAAAAAACTCAAAGTGCTTGTTTGGTAGGATTTTTGGAAAAATAATTGATTTTTGAATAGTGATATGATAGGAAATGTGTGGTTGAAAAAGAAGAAAAAATTATTGATGTGATGAAAAATATTATTTTATTGAAAAATGTGTGGTTGAAAATGATAATTAATTTACTGTAGTAGAATTAATTTATTGTAGAATTTGAGAATAAAAAACAAACAGGCCCAAAGTTTAAAGTCAAGAAGTGCACATTGACCTTGAGAACAGATTTTAAAAGCCCATTTTATATAATTTGAAGTTTGAAGTTTTTACCGGAAATTGAAATATGCATTTAATGAAAATTTTAAACTTCCAAATATGTTTAAATTTCCCATACATTGAAATGCCACATTTAAATAAATAAATAATTTATTAACTCTTGATTGATTTTATTAATTAATTTTGGGTATAATTACATCCACGATCATCCTACTTTTTACTTAGGATCCGTTTGATAAGCAAATGTGAAAATGAATTCTAATTCCATGTTATTTGGAAAATAAAAATTCACCAAAAACATAGAAATTCATTTTCCATAAAAACAAAGAAATGCGAGCCTTGTTTGAATCTAATTTTGAGGAGAATATACATTTTGGAATAGTGATTGAAGTGAAAATGTATGTTGGAAAACTGATGAATTTTTTTTGATTTGTGTGTAATGTTATTTTATTTGGAGAATGTGTGGTTAAAATGAAAAATGAGAACGAGAAATTAATGGGTGTCAAACGAGGGTAATGTGGTTGTACCTTAGAATTCGATTTACATTTACATGTTGCAATTAAAAGGCCAAAGTGAAATTCGTTTTCCTCAAATATGACATTTTTCATGAAATTCGTTGCAATCAAACAGGGCCTTAGTGTCATTATGACTACCAAACATTAATTTGTTTAAGCACCATCATCAAACTTTCCAAGTGCCTAACTCATTTTGTTGGACAAAGTTGATCATGAAATAATTAGCATGGTGAAGTATGTGGAATAATTAGCAAATATACATGAAATAAAATTAAGTAGATATTTTAAAAAATAATAATATATGCTAATTAATATAGAATAATTAGCAAATATACATGAAATAAAATTAAGTAGATATTTTAAAAAATAATAATATATGCTAATTAATAAATTACCATGTAACAATCTTCCCATTTTGTGGAAATTAATGCCCTGTTTGGGCTCCATTATAATTTAATTCATTTTCAACTATGCATTTTTCAATAAAATAATATTATACATAAACCAATTATTTTTCTTTTTTTCT